TATCTTTTTTGAGATGCAGTCTCACTCTGTGGCCCAGGCTTGAGGGCAGGGGTGCAATCTCGACTTACTGCAACCTCCATTGCCCAGGTTCCTGCCTGCAGATCCCGTCCGAGACAGACAGATCACTTGAAGTCAGGAGTTCTATACCAGCCCAGCCAACTTGGCAAAGCCTCATCTCTACTAAAAATACAAAAATTAGCCAGGTGTGGTAGTGGGTGCCTGTAATCCCAGCTACTCGGGACACTGAGGCAGGAGAATTGCTTGAACCTGGGTGGTGGAAGTTGCAGTGAGTTGAGATTGCACCCCTGCCCTCCAGACTGGGTGACTGACAGAGCAAGAGACTCCATCTCAATAAAAAATAATTTAAATAGCACATAAGAAATCCATACTCCACAGCCCCAAAATTTAGCTGAGTCCTTACTCAGCTAAATAGTGTTCAGTCCATAACAATAATTATTGCTAAGAATTTTCTTTGAAATTACTTGAGTAACCTAAAATGGCTAAGGCTACTTTCAGATAAGACAGCTGAGAAATCCCTAGCTCTCGTGTCCTCCTTTACAGTAAAGAAATGAAGTCGTGGGATGACAACAAAGGACTGAATTTCATTTAGTTAAGATTTTTAAAAATAAATACAGTCGTCTTCTTCTTCTTATGCTAACTACATCAGATGGTGGTAGAAAGAACAGTAACATGTGAATAGGGTTCAGCTCTCAACTATTGAAGGCACTAGAGCCCTAATCTTTTTATCTTTTTTTTTCTGGAGACAGAGTCTTGCTCTGTAGCCCAGGCTGGAGTGCAGTGGTGCCATCTCGGCTCACTGCAACCTCCGCCTCGTGGGTCCTAGTTCAGGCAATTCTCCTGCCTCAGCCTCCAGAGTAGCTGGGATTATAGGCATGCGCCACCATGCCCAGCTAATTTTTTTTGTATTTTTGTAGAGACTGGGTTTCACCATGTTGGCCAGGCTGGACTTGAACTGCTGACCTCATGATCCGCCTGGCCTCAGCCTCCCAAAGTGCTGGGATTACAGGCGTGAGCCCCACTGCACCAGGCCTAAAGCCCTAACCTTGAGAGCTTCTGACCTGAGGGTCAAGCATCATTTCTGCCCTACCTGCTATACAGGATGTTAATGTGGATCCCATTTTTCTTTAATGACCGAATATACGTAAGCATGGTTGAACGCCGTAAAATGCTAAGTCATTATTTTGTAGCTCCTTTTTTCTTGCACTGCACTAGTTGCCAAACTAACTCAATTCATATACTATTTCATAACGAATTCCAGAATACCATCAGAGTAAATAGCCAGATATACCTGCTGAATGAACTGGGTTTTCCACTTTGATTTCACCAGTTCAGTGCTACTCAAATGGTGTGGTTGGCAACTGGCCTCTGAAAATGTTTTTTGGTTTTTTGAGAAGGAGTCTCACTCTATTGCCCAGGCTGGAGTGCAGTGACGCAATCTCGGCTCACTGCAACCTCAACCTGCCAGGTCCAGGCGAATCTCCTGCCTCAGCCTCCTGAGTAGCTGGGACTACAGGTGGATGTCACCATGCCCAGCTAATTTTTTGTTTTTTTAGTAGAGATGGGTTTCATCATGTTAGCCAGGATGGTCTCCATCTCCTGATCTTGTGATCCGCATACCTTGGCCTCCCAAAGTGTTGGGATTTTTTTTTTCAGAGTCTCACTGTGTTGCCCAGGCTGGAGTGCAGTGTTGCAGTCTCAGCTCACTGCAACCTCTGCCTCCCAGGTTTAAGTGATTCTCCTGCCTCAGTCTCCCAAGTAGCCAGAATTACAGGTATCTACCACCCGACCTGGCTAATTTTTGTATTTTTTATGAGAGACAGGGTTTCCCCATGTTGGCGAGGCTGGTCTTGAACTCCTGGCCTCAGGTGATCCACCTTCCTGGGCCTCCCAAAGTGCTGGGATTAGAGGCGTGAGCCACCGTGCCTGGCCTGAAAATGTTTTGTTGCCAGTTTGGGCAGAGATATAGAACTTGCACCAATAATTTATAGTAACTACATCAGTAAACACATTGAAAAAAAAATACATATATATTACTTTGTTAGAAAGAAGCAATGTGTTTGATTTTTGCATGGAGTAAGTGCAAGTTTTTTGTTCTCTTGTGACCCAGCATCTTGAGTAGCAGTGCGCTAGTGCATCTGAGCACACACAAATGAGGTGAAAGCATTTAAACAATAATTTTTAAATAATTTTAAATAATTTGAACATGTTATTCCTATGATTTAATGGAGTAAGGAAGAAGCTTCTAAATGATTAAAGCAAGAGTTTCTCTGAAGAATACGTGATATTTAGAGTCAAATAAATAGATAAGCTACAATGGCAAATCATCCTATTTCTGGCTTTCCTGCTACAGTACCCAATTTGTTCTGCAGGGAACGTGAGAACACAGTCCATAAACAACCCCCAACTCAGATCAGCCCAGCCCATGTTTAGCACTGTGAGAATAATGCAAACAAATTGTTTTAATTAACCCAAGTGGTCCATGTTCATAGGCTGTATTGGTTTCTTTTAACTTACCTGATTGTATACCTTCAGAAAAAGCAACCTTCTTTTCATTCATGTATTTCCTTCTGCATTCCCTCCAATCTTATTGTTTTACATTCCATCTCCATTTCTAATCCTCATTTCTCCTGTATGACTGCTTTTTCCCCCTTTTTTGCTACTAGTGGTCTCTTCTCCTGTTTGTCTTTAATTGCTTTTCCTTTTCCCTCCATTTTTTTCTTTCTTTTGTTTCTGAGACAGAGTCTTACTCTGTTGCCTAGGCTGGAGTACAGTTGCATGGTCTCAGCTCACTGCAACCCCCTACCTCCCGAGTTTGAGATTCTCCTACCTTAGTCTCCCAAGTAGCTGGGATTACAGGCGTCTGCCACCATACCCGGCTAATTTTTGTATTTTTAGCAGAGACAGGGTCTCACCATGTTGGCCAAGCTGGTCTTGAACTCCTGATGTCAAATGATCCACCCACCTCGGCCTCCTAAACTGCTGGGATTACAGGCATGAACCACCATGCCCAACCTGCGTTTTCCTTGTTACGTGAGACTCAGGAGGTATATGAAGCAGAGGCTGAGAGGAGCTGTAACCCAGAGTTGGACATGCTGAGCTCAAAAGGAAGCTGTAGGCCACATCCAAGCTCTGCTTTAAAAACACAACAAATGGGCAAAGCCAGGCAAATAGAACAGAAGAGAAATAAGCCAGGAAGCTGAGGGGGACTGTTAAGAATTAGTCTAATGATGGACATGGAATCTATACTAGATGATAATTAAAATGAGGATGGTGACAAGGTTGCAGGTCCTGCTGTTACTGAAGAATTGCTGGTGTCAGGATACTCAGGGGAGTGGGGTGGAAGGATGCCACCCTGTGAAGTGCCCCCTATTGGCATGCACAGGTCTATGCAGAAGATCATTGGTTGGGGAGTCCGGCATGGCCCGGATACTTCCTGAACCCATCTCTTACTAAGTTTAGCAGCCTTAGGCACAGTACACAAAGTCTTCTAAGACATAGTTTCTTTATCTGCAGAATAGAATATGAATAACATGAAACCTACATATTGTGACAGTCACATGGAATGAAGCATAATTTCTGGCAATAAGTATTAATTTGGTAAAGGTCATTCTCATTCTATTTCCCTCCATTTCTGATGCTTTTATTTCAGCTCATCTTCTTCCTTGGTATGTCTCCCTCTCTTGAATGAGGAGACATCTTGTTCCTCTGATAGGTATCATTTAAAATGCTGTGAATTTGTTTAGACCTTAAGCAGTGTGATCACAGAAGATGAGCCACAAATTAGATTTTAAGCGATTGTTAGGGCAAATAAACAGTAAGTATAAAAATAATTAGATGTTGCTGGGCGCGGTGGCTCACGCCTGTAATCCCAGTACTCTGGGAGGCCAAGGCGGATGGATCACAAGGTCAGGAGTTCAAGACTAGCCTTGCCTAGATGGTGAAACCCTGTCTCTACTAAAAATACCAAAAAAAAAAAAAAAATAGCTGAGCATGGTGGTGGGCACCTGTAATCCCAGGTACTTGGAAGGCTGAGGCAGAGAATTGCCTAAACCCAGGAGGCAGAGGTTGCAGTGAGCCAAGATCGCACCATTGCACTCCAGCCTGGGCGACAAAGCGAGACTCCGTCTCAAAAATAATTATATACACATATAGTTGATGTTACAAACAAAATGCTTTTTCTCATGCCCCAAGGTTATGGATAAGTATGGAGAGTTCTACGGCCGAGACAGAATCAGTGAATTGCTCGGCATGGACAAGGCAGCTCTGGACTTCAGTGATGCCAGAGAAAAGAAGAAGCCAAAGAAGGACAGCTCCTTTTCAGCTGTGTAAGTGTCACTTCTGCTCTGTCCTGCAGACTTAGGGGAAAACGTTCATACATTCTAACTTGTGCATCGATTTCCTTTCCTTCAATGTCCAAAGAATAGATAGATGAGGAAAAAAGAATGAATATAAAGTCTACTTTTACACTTCTAGGTATTTGGAACTATGGAATGACTGGATTTATTTCTATTAATTTTTGAAGGTGCCTTCTAATATTTACAAGAGAAAAGAAAGACTATTCATGTTCTTGATTTAATTTGCTTTTTCTGTCTTTAAATGGCCCTTAAATCTAAGTAAAACATATGCAAATACTCAATATATGACTGAAAAACTAATTTTCTTATGTTTTAGAAAAGGGAACTATGTGGCCCTTTTATTTAAAATGTTCAGAGGAACTCATATTACTTTATTATAGTTATTGTATTTTTTTGAATAGCAAAGGCTTAGTGTGACGGAAATAATATACCGTCATACTATTACTTGTAAAGTTTATTTGAAAATGAAACATTCTTTATATACTGCTTTCATGGAATGTTTTAACTATGCAGAAGATCATTGGCTGGGGAGTCAGGCATGGCCCAGATGCTTCCTGAACCCATCTCTTGCTAAGTGTAGCAACCTTAGGCACATCACAGGAAGTTTTCTAAGACACAGTTTCTTTATCTGCAGATAAAGTTGAGTTGAATTTACCTGAGTTTAAATGTCACACACACACATATATAATATGAGTGTACAAATATATACATTCAGCAAATTTGATCAACTGAATATCTGGAATAGAAGTAAAACATGCTTTTAAAAATGTAATTTCTTGTTGCGGTCACTTAAGGATTTTGGAAGAAATACTACTTACTTTCTCTTAACATGATTAGGAATGTTTACTTTGAAAACATATTTATGGTTCTGTGAAGCAGTATTATTTTCTCACATAATCTGTTAGCTAGCATTAAAAAGATCGTTTGGCTGGCCTATTTCGTTGGTCATATGTGTTAGAAAATGTGTTAGAGCTACTTGGGTCTGTTAAGATGAACTTGTTTTTGAATTTGTTATTGAAAAGAACTTAGATAAGCAGATATGAATTAAGGTACAAAGTATTACTTGAGTACTTTAGGAAAACAAATGTATATTTAAAGGTTGGGTCACTGTATGTCAAACGAAACACAGATGGGCAGTCCTTAGGACCTATGTCCCTTATGTTAAAATATCACATGAAACAAGAACTAGGGTGTGAGACTCAACATCTCACAAACATTTTCAGATCCTTAATAAGCAATATAGAATTAAACACTTTTACTGAGTTAAGCATTTTCTGTGGTCATATTTGTGACTCTAGAAAAAAAGTCTGAAGAAACAGAAGGAAAGTTTAGACTGTTTTTCTAATATGACGAAATAGTTTTAAATTGGCAAAGTTTTCTACCATTATACATAGTAAATGTTTGTAAGTTTGACCCCTAGCAAAGTACCAAGAAGTTCATATGGCATTTAACCCCTCTACATATGGAGAATAAAATTAGAAGAATAATACTTACCTGGCAGGGGAGAGATACCATGATCACGAAGGTGGTTTTCCCAGGGCGAGGCTTATCCATTGCACTCCAGATGTGCTGACCCCTGCGATTTCCCCAAATGTGGGAAACTCGACCGCATAATTTGTGGTAATGGGGGACTGCGTTCACGCTTTCCCCTGGTCTTTAAAAAAAAATTAGAAGAATAAAGTTCTGGTAAATAATGTACAACTAGGAAAAAGATTTTCATATGATGTCTCTTCAAAGATCTTTACTAAAGCATTTAGAAAGGTCAAGTTTTAAAAGATTATCCGATTTCTATATGAATGATATCTTAATGTGAACATTCAAATACAAGGATGATTTATGTATTTATTTATCAAACACATCAGGCTTAGTAGGTGCACGTTTAAATAAGTGGCCAGCTGCATTCCCGGGGGTGAAATAGCTGCAAGCAGTCAGAAGGGCTGCATTCGTCTTCATTTGTGTCCTCACCACCGGGCCTGCCTTACAAGAGCTCCTGAAAGAAGCACTAAATGTGGAAAGGAACAACCAGTACCAGCTACTCCAGAAACGTACCAAATGGTAAAAAGCATCGACAAAATGAAGAAACTGTGTCAACTAACTGGCAAAACAACCAGCTAGTATCAAAATGGCAGGATCAGATTCACACATAACAATATTAAACTTAAATGTAAATGGGCTAAATGCCCCAATTAAAAGACACAGACGACTGGCAAATTGGAGACGAAGTCAAAACCCATCAATGTGCTGTATCCAGGAAACCCATCTTGCATGTAAGGATACACAAAGGCTCAAAATAAAAGGATGGAGGAAGATTTACCAAGCAAATGGAGAGCAAAAAAAAGCAAGAGTTGCAATCCTAGTCTCTGATAAAATAGACTTTAAACCAACAAAGATCAAAATAGACAAAGAAGGGCATTACATAATGTTAAAAGGATCAATGCAACAAGAAGAGCTAATGATCCTAAATATATACGCACCCAATACAGGAGCAGCCAGATACATAAAGCAAGAACTTAACGACCTACAAAGAGACTTAGACTCCCACATAATAATAGTGGGAGACCTTAACACTCCACTGTCAATATTAGACAGATCCATGAGACAGAAAATTAACAAGGATATCCAGGACTTGAACTCAGATCTGGATCAGACGAACCTAATAGACATCTACAAAACTCTCCAATATATATTCTTCTCAGCACCACATCACACCTACTCTAAAATTGACCACATAACTTGAAGTAAATCACTCCTCAGCAAATGCAAAAAAAACTGAAATCATAACAGTCTCTCAGACCACAGTGCAATCAAATTAGAAATCATGATTTAGAACTAACTCAGAACTGCATAACTTCATGGAAACTGAACAACTGGCTCTTGAATGTTGACTGGATAAAAAATGAAACGAAAGGAGAAATAAAGATGTTCTTCGAAACCGACAAGAACAAAGACACAACATACCAGAATCTCTGGGACACATTTAAAGCAGTGTCTAGAGGAAAATTTATAGCAATAGATGCCCACATGAGAAGCAAGGAAAGATCTAAAATCGACACCCTATCAATCATCAAAATGAGTAAGATCAAAAAAACTCACAAGCTAGCAGAAGACAAGAAATAACTAAGATCAGAGCATAACTGAAGGAGAGACCAAAAAAAAAAAAAACCCTTCAAAAAAATCAATAAATCCAGGAGCTGGTTTATTGAAAAGATCAACAAAATAGACTGCTAGCCAGATTAATAAAAAAAAAAAAAAAAAAAAGGAAAGAAAAGACAGAAGAATCAGATGCAATAAAAAACAACAAAGGGGATATCACCACAGATTCCACAGAAATACAAACCACCATCAGCGATTACTACAAACAACTCTATGCACACAAACCAGTAAACCTGGAAGAAATGGATAAATTCCTGGACACTTGCACCCTCCCAAGCCTAAACCAGGAAGAAGTTGAAACCCTGAATAGACCAATAACAGGCTGAAGTTGAGGCAGCAATTAATAGCCTAACAACCAAAAAAAGTGCAGGTCCAGATGGGTTCACAGTTGAATTCTACCAGACATACAAAGAGGAGCTGGTACCAATCCTTCTGAAACTATTCCAAACAATCCAAAAAGAGGGAATCCTTCCCAAATCATTTTATGAAACCAACATCATCCTGATACCAAAAGCCAGCAGAGACTCAACAAATAAAGAAAACTTCAGGCCAATATCCATGATGAACATAGATGCAAAAATCTTTAATAAAATACTGGCAAACCAAATCCAACAGCACATCAAAAAGCTTATCCATCACAATCAAGTAGGCTTCATCCTGGGGATGCAAGCCTGGTTCAACATATGCAAGTCTATAAATGTAATCCACCACATAAACAGAACCAAAGACAGAAACCACATGATTATCTTAATAGATGCAGAGAAGGCCTTTGACAAAAATCAACAGCCCTTTATGCCAAAAACTCTCAATAAACTAGGTATCGATGGAACGTGTCTCAAAATAATAAAAGCTATTTACGACAAACCCATAGCCAATATCATACTGCATGGGCAAAAACTGGAAGCATTCCCTTTGAAATGTGGCACTAGACAAGGATGCCCTCTCTCGCCACTCCTATTCAATACAGTATTGGAAGTTCTAGCCAGCACAATCAGGCAAGAAAAAGAAATAGGGCCGGGCGCGGTGGCTCACGCCTGTAATCCCAGCACTTTGGGAGGCCGAGGCGGGTGGATCACAAGGTCAAGAGATCGAGACCATCCTGGTCAACATGGTGAAATCCCGTCTCTACTAAAAATACAAAAAAATTAGCTGGGCATGGTGGTGCGTGCCTGTAATCCCAGCTACTCAGGAGGCTGAGGCAGGAGAATTGCCTGAACCCAGGAGGTGGAGGTTGCGGTGAGCCGAGATTGTGC